CGTCCCCCCAGGTTCACGCCATTCTCCTGCCTCAGCCTCCCGAGTAGCTGGGACTACAGGCGCCCGCCACCTCGCCTGGCTAATTTTCTTGTATTTTTAGTAGAGACGGGGTTTCACCGTGTTAGCCAGGATAGGATGGTCTCGATCTCCTGGCCTCGTGATCCGCCTGCCTCGGCCTCCCAAAGTGCTGGGATTACAGGCTTGAGCCACCACGCCCGGCCTTTTTTTTGTATTTTTAATAGAGACAGGGTTTCGCCATGCTGGCCAAGCTGGTCTCGAACTCCTGACCTCAGGTGATCCGTCCACCTCCGCCTCCCAAAGAGCTGGGATTACAGGCACGGGAGCCACCACACCTGCCCTCAAGCCATTTAAAAGCACACAATTAAGTGGCATTTAATGCATTCACAATGTTGTCCAACCATCTCCTTTATCTAGTTCCAGAGTGTCTTCCTTTCCCCAAAAGGAAACCCTGCATCCATTAGCAGTCACTTCCCATTCCCCGATTCTCTCCAGTCCTATAGGTAATTGTCAGTCTCCTTTCTGTCTCCAAGGATTTGCCTAGAGACCTGCGAGGTGACTCACACCTGTAATCCCAGCACTTTGGGAGGCAGAGGCGGGCAGATCCCTTGAGGCCAGGAGTTTGAGACCAGCCTGGGCAACATAGCAAGACCCTGTCTCAATAAATAAATAAATAAATAAAGTTGGGCATGGTGGTGCACACCTGTAGTCCCAGCTGCTGAGGAGGCTGAGGTATGAGGATCGTTTGAGCCCAGGAGTTTCAGACTGCAGTGAGCTATGATGGGGCCATTGCACTCTAGCCCTGGGTGACAGGGTGAGACCCAGTCTCAAAAAAAAAAAAAAAAAAAAAAAAAAATTTAGGCTTTGCCTATTCTAGACATTTCCCAATAAGTTTTTGCCGAAGACATGAATGAGGGAGAGATGACAAGGGTACTAATCAAATGGGAGAGATGAAGGGGATGAGGGGGTGTAGGCAGGTGCTCAGGAGTCTGTCCTGGATGTCTCGATGGATGGTGGGGCCTGGGTCCCCATACCATCTCTGTCCTTGGCTGACTGTGTCATCTTGGGAGGGAGCCTTCCCCTCTCTGAGCCTGTTTCTCCACGGAGTAGGAGGATCAAGAGGATCAACTTAAGACAGAGAATATTCCAGGCCAGGAGCGGTGGCTCACGCTTGTAATCCCTGCACTTTGGGAGGCTGAAGCAGGTGGATCACCTGATGTCAGGAGTTCAAGACCAGTCTGGTCAACATGGTGAAACCACATATCTACTAAAAATATAAAACTTAGCCTAGTGTGGTGGCACGCGCCTATAGTCCCAGCTACTCAGGCTGAGGCAGGAGAATTGTTTGAACCTGGGAGGCAGAGGTTGCAGTGAGCCGAGATTGTGCCACTGCACTCCAGCCTGGGTGACAAAGTGAGTGAGTGAGACTCCATCTCAAAAAAAAGGGAGAATATTCCAGACATGAACATTGCTCCTTAGTGACAGGGCAGGAGTAGGGTGAGGAAAGGTTCTAATGTGGATATGCAGGGAGAGCACCCAGGCACTGGAATCAGACGGTCTGAGTGCAAATCCTGACTTTGTTCTTGAATCATCGTGGGACCTTAGGCAGGTGCCTTTGCCCTTCTGAGCCTCCATTTCCTCATCAAAATGAAGATAATGAAAATCCCCACCATGGCCGGGCATGGTGGCTCATGTCTGTAATCCCAGGACTTTGGGAGGCTGAGGCAGGCGGATCACCTGAGTCCAGGAGTTTGAGTCCAGCCTAGGCAACATGGCAAGATCTCCATCTCTACTAAAAATATGAAAAATTAGCCAGACGTACTGTCATGCGCCTGTAATCCCAGCTCCTCAGGAGGCTGAGGTGGGAGGATTACTTAAGCCCAGGAAGTGGAGGCTGCAGTGAGCTGCACTCCAGCCTGGGCGACAGAGTAAGACTCTGTCTCAAGAAATAAAAACAACAAAAAAAGTCCCCACCTTGGGCTCCTGTAATCCCAGCTACTTGGGAGGCTGAGGCAGGAGAATGGCGTGAACCTGGGAGGCGGAGCTTTCAGTGAGCCGAGATTGCGCCACTGCACTCCAGCCTGGGCGATAGAGTGAGACTCCGTCTCAAAAAAAAAAAAAAAAAAAAAAAAAAAAGTCCCCACCTTATAGGCTCGTGCAGATCCAGGGGTTATTAAGTGCTCAGGCAAGTGTCTGGTACACTCACCCCAAAGTGCTCGGTACACAGAGACACTGTCATCCACACCACCATTGTCATCAGCATCGTCCATGGTCATTATTTTTTTCCCCAGGTCCTCACCTGTCAAAATGCCTATCCTGAAGAACCTGGGAGTGTCAGACCCTAAGGTGCCCCGGGCGGGGACCCTGCCCCTGAGGTCCTCTCGGAACCCCTTTGAAGAAGTTTCAGGGCTGGAGGAAGAAGAGGCCGGGGAGCTGGGGTCCCTCCCCAATGGAACATCTTGTCGCCGCCGCGCCACCCTGGAGAAGCTTGCAGGCCTGGCTCCCTTCCGTCTGGGCTGGGCCCCGGGCCGGCGGGCAGGCAGCCCCGGGGATGGGCAGTCCCGCTCTTTCCTGGGCCGTGTGCTGGTACCAGGGATACGCAGGAGCTCAGCAGATTTTGGCCTCCTGGCCCGGCTACATGGGACCCGAGCCCATGGCGACGAGGAGGCAGCAGGGGAGGCTGCCCGGAGACTGGCCTTCCTGAGACTCGGGCGTGGATCCAAGCCCCAGCGTGCGTCCCTGGCTGAGAGAGTGGTGCCTGCAGGCGAGGCAGCTCCAGAGCCCCCACCCAAGGTCCCAGAGCCCCCAAAGATGAAGGAGCCATTGTCAGGTGAGTCCAGAGCCCTGACCCAGTCCTGGGAGAATTCCAGTGCCCATGTCCATCCCCAGCCCTGGTGGTCCCAGGCTTCATACTTAAGCCCATCCCAGCTGCCACCTGTGACCCCGACCTGCAATTCACATGTCTGACTCACATCTCCTGCCTCCTTGCCAGCTCCAGCCCGTTACTACTGCCGTCCTAACTCCTGTCATCAACCTTCTTCTTCAGAGCCACCTGTTAAAATATGCCCACCCTCAATCTTTGCCTCCTCCACCTGCCGTCTTCAGCCCTACTCCCACGTCTAAAGCCACGTGAATACCTGATTTTGGTCCCATCTCTCCCCCTTCCCTTTCTATCCCCAATTTCTTCAATTTCTTTATTTTATTTTATTTATTATT